AGAAGTGGAAAACATTTCTTAAAATAAACTATAATTGGACACCTAAGACATTATAAAAATGATGGGGTTCTTGGAAAACACTTATTATCGCCACCCCTTTAAACCATTTTAATCGTCCCCAGTAGTTCAAATGGCTTGGTATTCAGGGTCAGCTTTATCCAACTCTATTCAAAGGTGAGATTTGAAGAAATGTATATTTAAATTCTTCCCTTTGCGTTCTACTCCATCCATGTCTTTTTTTCCTCCTTCACAAGCTCTTCCTTGCAGGAACTTCCTCCCTGGTGAGCAGGAATGAAGGCCTCAGCTCTAACTAGCTCTAACACAAACTCTATGCCTAGCTCTAATACATGCTTAACTACAACTCATGGCCAAGTGAGGGAAAGTGCCAATGGGAGGGGATGAAAGAAAGAGACAAGTGAGTATAAGGATTGCTTTACCTAGGGTAGGAGGTAGCACCAGAGAAGATGACAGAAAATTCTTGTTTGGAACATACTGGTGCTGGAATATCAGTGGGTCATCTAAGAGGAAATGCCCTTCAGGTTTCTGGAAAGACAGGAGTGTGGGAGGAGATTTCTCAGGGCCAGGGTTAGAGAATGGGATTGGATATCATCTCCATAAAGTAGAGGTGTGTGATAGGCGGTTCAATGAGGGCCTCAGTACATGGCCCGCAGAGCACAGAGTCCTTATGCCATGCCCATCAGGTCACTGCCTGTGGCTTGACTTACAATACCTACAATCAGGGCACTTATGGTTAACCAGAATGTGTTAAAGGTCCATTTTTGCTCTAAAAATCTATATGACTCTACAATATTAACCTGCTCCACACCCCTAGATAACAGCTACTTTACGACCTGGCTGGCGCCAAGGCAAGATGAGATTGAGCAAGGGAGGAACAAGAGGGCCTCCAACTACTTCTCCTTGGTACATTGATCTCTTTAGCGATCTTCTTGGAAGAAAGATAATTTCCTAATCTGTGTTCTTGCTTAGCAGATAACGAGATAATCTGTCCAACATTAGTTCAGCCACTGATGAAAAAGTTGGACTTTCACTTTGTTGGTTCTCTGCCTTTCCTCTTAATTCAGTTTCCTCTGGGCACTCCCCCTAGTTAGAGGGAGCAAATGCCTGAACTCTAGCACACTCTACCTGGCTTTATCACATGCTTAGCTTCATTTTAAACAAATTCTCAGTATTTTCTCCAGAGGGAGCTAAACGACATTAGCTGCATTAACACTGGTGGACCCACCCAGTATTAAGGCCTTCCTAAAGCTCAAGAAGGGGTCACATGTGAAACTGCGTCAGTGGCGTCAGAAAGATCCAGTTGCTCAAAGCCATGTGGGTCCTCCCCTTAGAGCAGGTCTTCTGCCTTAGATAATAGATTTTAGACCATTTGTGTGTATATATGAGTATATGCTTCATTTGGTATTTCAGAGATTTTCATGTTTTCATTTTCATTCAATTAAAATGTTTTCTACTTTCTTCCAACTTCTTTGACTTATGTAAAAAATACTTGGACTCGTAAGTAAAAAATACCAGTATTTTTTAATTTCCAAATATTTGGGGACTTTCAAGATATTTTTTGTTAATGATTCCTAGCTTAATATTTTTACTGTCTTAGAGTACATTTTGTACACTTTCAACCATTTAAAATATTCTAAGGGGTTTTTTTTGTGTGTGTGCAGAATATTGTCTATCATGGTGAATGTTCTGTATATACCTAAAGTCAATGCATATTCTGCTCTTGTTGGGTGAAATGTTTAAAAAATGCCAGTTAGGTCAAGTAAATTAATAATGCTGTTTAGGTGTTGTATTTCCTTAGCATTTTCTGTCTGCCTGTTCTATCAATTACTGAGAGAAAAGTATTAAACTCTCTAAACATAATTGTGTATTTGTCTATTTCTCCTTTCAATTTTGTTGGTTTTTGCCTTACATCCTTTAAAGCTACATTGTTTAGTCCAGATACATTTGGGATTGTTGAACATTTTTGGTGAATTTACTCTTTTCCATTAATGTAGCATTTTTTTAATCTCTAGCAATATTGTTTTTTTTTCTGAAGCCTACCTTTTCTGATATTACTATAAATACTTCAGGGTGGTTTTTTTGGTGTTTCCATAATATCTTGTTTTCCATTCTTCTACTTTCATTTTATGTTTTTATATTTAAACTGAGTTTCTTACAGACAGCATACAATTGGGTCTTGCTTTTATTTTTTAAATCCAACCCAGTAATCTCTGTATTCTTTGGTGTGTTTAGACAATTTATGTTTAATGTAGTAGTTATTGATGTGGCTTGATTAAAATCTATCATTTCACTAGGTCTTTTCTGTTTGTTTCATTTGTTTATTTTTCTGCCTTCTTTTGGATTAATTGATTACTTTCATTTAATTTCTACAATTGGCTGATTATTTAACCTCTAAAGTTTTTTAGTGGTTGCCATAGGGTTTGCAATTTACATCATAAAAGATCAGATTCTATGTCTAAATAATATCACAGAGCTTCATATGTAGTCAGAAGACTTCACAACAGTATACTCCACATTTGTTCCTTCAAGTTTTGGATTGATTTTTCAGATATTAAACCATCCTTGTATTTCTGAAATAAATCACACTTGATCATGGTGGATGATCCTTTTAATGTATTGTTGAATTTGGTTTGCTAACATTTTGTTGAGAAGTTTTGTATCTATGTTCATCAGAGATATTAACCTGTAATTTTCTTTTTTGTGTTGTCCTTGCCTGGTTTTGATATCAGGATAATGTTGAGGGCCCCCCCTCAGGCTCATAGATGAGTTTGGAAGGCATGGGCTCTTAAAGAGATAGTCCTTAGTTCACCCTAAGCCCTGCAGGTCTCATGCACATGCGTTCAGCTGTTCTTCAAGGACAGATGTTTGTGGCCTCATTTCTCAGGTGCTGGTCTGAAAAGTTGGGGTCCCCAATGTGGGGGTGCCCAAACCTTTCATTCCTGAAGGAGAATCTTCAGGTTTTGAGTTTTTTTCTGATGGTAGGTTACCATGCCAGGGGGTGGGTGGGGCTGGCAGTGAGATTTATGATGGGATTGTGTCTCAGCTTCCATATATTTTCCCTCTTGTTTACCTGATGTGAAGGGATCACTCCATCAGTTTTTAGGGTTTTTTTTTTTGCAGATGAAGTTGTTCCATATATAGCTATAGATTCATTGTGTCTGTGAGAGAAAATGAGTTCAGGTTCTTCCTTTGTCACCATTTTGAACCAGAACCCCTTTTAAGTGATGAACTTTAATGTCTAGAATATGCATTTATTTTTTATAGATTCTAATTGTCTTTTAAAAAATCTATCTTTTTATCTATTTTGTTCATCTTTCCTTCTCTTTTTAGAGAAAAATAGTTGTATTTATTTTAAATTACTCAATATTTCCAATACCTGAGTAATTTATGAATTTGTTTCTCTTATCTGTTTTTTTCTCATGGTTTTGGTCATTTGGTCCTATTTTTAAAAGATGCCTTGCAATTTTAAATTAGATACTGAGCATTATAACTAAAAATCTGTGGAAGCTCTGGAGATCTTCCATATACTTGAAGAGTGTTAGCATTTCTTTTATTAGGAGTGTCAAGTAGAAATGAATTGACTTGATCTTGTTGAGACTTTGCTTTATGCTTGTTATTTTGCTTTGTGTTTCCTCGGGCATAGATTTTATTGCTAAGGGATGTCTCTTATTACTGGGTTATGGCCCTTTTAGGGTCTCAATGGGAAGCCTGATGTGTTTATGAAGGTCCACATCCAGTGGGGCTTGAAATGAACACTTAACCTCTCCAGCACCACACAGCTGCTGCATTTCTTTTTTTTTGCTGAGTTTCTTGGTATCTTGTTTGGAACATATACAACTTTTAAGTTGGCCAACAATTTCAAAACAAGTTTACAGGTTTTTTTTCCTATTTTTGGTTCTCTTTTTTTTAATGATTTTTTTCTCTCAAATTGCAGCCATTTGGATTGCCCCAAAGTTCATCCTCTCTCTCTTTAACCTAGTAAGACTTCTTAGGTATCGTTTCTCTGCATTGTGATTTGAAAAATAAAATGTCCTTAGAAAAAGAGCTAGTAAAAAGGCAGAACTCAACCGTGCTTTCCTTCTTTCAAAGATCATAGACCCTCAATCCCTTTGTTTCTCGGTCACTGAAATGCTTTCAGACTGTTGGTTTGTATGTTTCATGTAGGCTCTTTCGTTGTTTTCAACAGGAGGGTTAGAGACAAGCTACTTCAATGAGACCAACAGTGGAAGTCCCTTTATTTTCTCTAGTTTTGCCTGCTTCTACTAGTAATCAAGGGACAGGTAAAAGCAAGGAGGTAAAATCTTACACTATTTATACTCTACTTATTTCCCACGTGGGTTTGTGGTAGGCTACTTACTTTCTCTGAGGGTAAAGCCCAGGCACTTTAGCTTCCGTGGCAAATGAGCAGAGCTAGCCTCTAATCCTAGCTCTACCCTACCTAGCTGTATAACTTCAGACAAATGATCTTTTCGAGTTAATTTTCTTTGTACCTAATATAGGATTAGTAGCTGACTTGCTTACAAAAATTTGATGAGGATAAACAGTAAAAGTAGAGAAAAATCTTTTGAACGACTGTAAAAGGCTACAGAAACAGAGGCATCTCTTATTTAATTTTCACCCCACAACCCATAAGTAGCACAAAACTGAGAATGAGGATCCCAGGATTTGCATTTGGCTTACTCACTAATTAGCTGTTGACTCTGGGTAAATCAATTCATTCTTCCTGATCTGTAATTTGAGAGAGCTTATCAAACTATAGTTTATAAGACAAAAAGAAAACTCTGAAGTAATGAAGCCCAAGACTGTTTGTAAACCCACAGTTAATTGAAGGAAGGTACCTGCCAGATCAATTATCTTCCTCTTGGCAGTTGGGTTATGTCAATAATACCTGCATTTAAAGGAAACTGGATCCCTTGGACAACTGAGATGAGTACTGTAGCCTGCACTTAGAAGATGAACATGGATTGTTATGCCTCCTACAGGAAAAGGAAGAGGAAAGAGAGGGTGAGAGAAGAGAGAGATGTGCTCACTGGCATCACTGCACCTGGACCGAATGCCAAATGTCAGGATCTGTGCCTATCATTATGCCTATGCCTGCCCCCAGAACTGGAAGTCATCGAAGGTAAAAATAAAACCCAAAGATTAAGTGTGAGTGAGGATGAGTCAGATAGACCTCACAGCCACAGTGAAATAATAGTCAGACATCATTGAGCAACCTGCCAGTGGGGGCTGTGTTCACCTTAGGGCAGCCCGGACTTCCTGTGAGGAGTTGGTTCTTGAAGTTGCTCCTGTGAGAACTCTTTGGTTCTTGAAGCCTAGAGCTAGGCAGAGTGGAAAGTGACTGAAAAGGTAAGTTTTGAGCCTCACAGGGAGGTGCAGCACTGCTAGCCCGCACCCTCTGTTCTAAGAGTCCCGTCAGAAACTGGCAGAAAAAGACCTCATAGAGTGATTAACTGATTTTGATGTATTGGTTGGAAACTTCATCTACTTGATAGCAAATGTCTAGATAATAAGCTTAACACTTAAGGATTCAGGTATTTTGAAATGATCATATTTTTGCCATACTGTAAACATAAAGTTATCGAATTCCCTTCTTCCTCTGTATCCATTAACAGCTCCTGTAGTGCTTGGCTGCTGTGTGTATTTTCTTTCTTGTTAAAAATTATATTTTAACTCCCCCCAAAAATGTCAGACTGAAAAATGTCTGTAAATTTCCTGAATTATTACAATAATAGTCCACAGCTATAAGGTCATATGCTGTTTTTCAAATTCGTTTTCTATATTAAATTACATAATTTTTCATGATGATCTTGTGAAATAGCATTAAGTAATTAGGTAGGGCAAAAATAACAGAACCGGACCCAGAGAAGTGAAACGAGTTGCTCTTTGTCGCAGAATATAACACATTTACTCTGCAGGGCTTTTACGGTTGTGTGTGTATGTATTTCACTTATTTAACAAATATTTATTGATTGCCTAATATTATGGCAGGACTTGAGGCTGGGGATACAGTGGTGAACAAGACAGCCTGTGCTTGAGGACATCACAATTGTAAACGTTTAGAGAACTACGTCTCCCGGAGAGTGTTGCAGCAGGGGTGCAGGGGAAGAGGGACAAAGAGGAAAGCTTCAGTGAAGAGGGGGCCTGGTAACAAACACCTGAGGGAGGTGTAGGAATTTATTGGGCAGATAAATAGGGCAGTGTGTTCAAGTCAGAAAGAACAACATCCACACACTTGCAGAGGTACGAGGGAATGGTGCGTCTTTAGGGCACAGCATGCAGCTAAGTATTACTGGAGGGTAGGAGTAGGCAGAAAGTAGATCATTTTGAACAGTTTGGAAGAATCCTCTTTCCCCTTCCATACACTCTCCCTGCGCCCCATCAGTCATCGAGTCTTATGGACTTGTTTCCTTCTATGCGACTTTGCTGCTTGCTTTGGTTAGAGCCCCATCATGTCTGCCCTACACCGTTGTTTTTGTCTCTTGGCCGGTGTCCCATCCTCAGTGTGCATCCTTCCAATCCCCCCTCCTCCTGCCTTCCCATTTGGTTCCGAATAAGCCCAAACTTTGAGCCTGGCTTACAGAGTCCCCCCCTCCTCTTGTACCTGACTGCATCTCCAAACTTCTTTCTGAATAGACCACCCCATTCCACTCACATTTTCCCTCTTTGTTCCTTAACTAATTTCTTACTTCATTTTGTCCTTTCTTAATTCCTCAAAAATTCCTCTCCATTCTTTAGCTAATTGTTGCAGCCCCCTCAGGGGGCTCCTTAGGGAAGGCCATGCCTCTGTGTCCTCGTTCAAGTGTCTCTCTCTGTTGGCATATCTTCTCCCTTCTCCATCACTGATCCTCTACTTACCTTTCAAGACTTTCCAGACTCAGGGCAAATGTTACTGACTTCGAGAACCTTTTTGGCACATCTGTGTTCCCTGAATGGTCTGTAAGTTCCTTCATAGCCCAGACAATGTCTCATTCATCTTTGTGTCTTCAGCACCCAACACAGTGCCTGGGTGGTAATGAGTACCCAATAAATATTGTTGAATGGGTTAATAAAGGCTTCCTAGAAATTATTTGGCATTGAATCCTGAATAGCCCTACTTTCTGTGGTTTTCCCCCCTGTAGTAATTGTCTTTCCCATACAAAAAGCTAAGTTTTCTGAGGGCAGAAACCTTTCTCTTACTTTCTTTTACATGCTCCTTGGTGCCTAGTCCAGTGCTGGCCAATGCTTCTGTTTGTATGCCTGTTAGGAGTTTCTGCAGACTTCTTATATCTCACCCTACAAATTAATAAAACTACATAACTGTTTAACTTGAGAGCTGCGCACAGAGGAGGGCCCAAGACAGAAGAGCCAATCACAGGAAAGCCAGTCCCACCCTGTTCTTTCAGAGTCCATCCCTGTGACTGACCCCAACTCTGCCTGTGCTCACAGGAAGAAGGATTAAATCTTGAAGGAACCAGGATCTTTCAGGGCTGAATTTTTCTTTCCATCTTTTACTGAGGAGACAGAAGGACCCTTCAAACTGGTATAAGAAAGGGTGTTTGGGGAGGGCAGTACCCTAATTTACCAAATTTCTTAATTGATCATATTTAGACCAAATTTAGGTTGTTCTCTGCCTGTATAAGAAGTTCCTATTTTACACAACAAAAATCTGTTTATATGTGTTTAATGAAATTATATTTAAATGCTTGAAGAGATCACATACTGAAAAAAACAATTCCATGGGGAAGGAAATTTTCTGCAAAGAAACACCTCAGAATGAGTTTATAAATTTGAATATTTGTCTTTTAGGGTTGCTTAGAGTTAAACTCAAATGTTGCTTTAGTTTCTTGATTCTCTCATTTTATTTTAAAACTTTATTTGCTGACTATCCTAAGTGTAGGTTTCTTTTATTTAACTAATGAGGAGCTCTCTTAAGATCCTCCAAAACCAATGTTGTGCTTCAATATAGTCAGGAACTTGAAAGCCCGTTAATCTTTGTTTTCTCAGCCATATGTTGGGGTCTGGGTCCTCCCCAGCACTCTGCCTCCCTTTCTGCTTTCTCCTTACCTAGCACAGCTCACAGGGCTCTCCCAGACTAGCAGGAGTAGCAGCCCTTTGAGTCTTCCTTCACAGGAACTAATAGTGTCCTAAAAGTCTAAGACCTGGTTCAACCACTGATTCATTTCAATTCCTCCTGCCCTTTATTTCTCTTCTCTTTATTAACTCTTATTTACCTATTCACAACAGGACATGGAAGTCTGTTTCATTATTTATTATATTAAAATTTTGCTTCCAGTATTCCCAATTTTCAGTTCTTAAAGAAATCGACTAAACCTCTAAACATTTTTAGCTTTTTCCTGTGGGTAACTAGCCCTAAACATTCTCCCTAGCTCGACATTACAGAATAACCAGTCTTTCAGCCTTGCCCCTGAATTTGTTTTTCAGTTGAGGAGAACGGGAGATGGAGAAAACAAATGGAAGAGAGGCCACCGCTCTGTCCACACTGGGGACTGGCCTAGAGAACCCAGGGCTTGAGCCCACGGTAATCCACTGGTTTAGTTTCTGTGGAGCTTTGTGGTTGGCTGCATGGCCTCATGTAGGGTCTTTGGCTGCTCACAATCCCCACTGACCCTGGCAAGGCCCTATGACTAACCGCAGCTCTACCTGTGCTTACAGGAAGAAGGGTTAAGTCCTAAGGAAACCAGCAGGACTGAAGAACAAGGACAAAAACTTGGGGATGTGCTTGGGCTTTCCACGCACCAGAGGTACAGGTGTTCTGGAACAGGTTCAGTGAGGACCTAAGGAGTGAGGGTGGGTTAAATGTGGCCAGTGGACTCAGAGGAGGTCAAAATTGCCCCATTGGCAGGAAGCTTATGGTCTTATTGTGTTGATAAGACTCACAGCCACCTGGTGTTACCATATGCACATCTATATTTATATGTAATTGTTACATAATCTTTGTGCTCTAAGTAATGGGAGGTGGTCAGACTGACAATAAAGATAACAACGATGAGAATAATAACAGCTAACATTTAGTGAGTACTCACTATTGTGCAGATGCCTTATGTAATTAATTTAATTTTCACAGCAACACGTGGGTACTGATTTTATTCCCTTTGTTTTCATATAGAAAACTGAGGCTTAGAAAAGAACTTAGCCATATCATTGAAAGAAAAAAAGGTCTTTGGGAATACTCAGATTTGGGGATGGGGAGAAAAACAATCAGATTAAAATGAAGGCAGAGAGGGACCATCGTGAGGGATAATAGTGAGAGTAAAAAAGTACTGTCTTGAAAGTCAAAAGAGAAGGAAGTGTCAATCAAGAATGAAGGCACAGTTCATAGTGCTGTCTGAAATGGGTCAAGGAAGAAGAAGTGAGAAAACTCTTTGAATTTGATTGTGGGTTTGGTTCTAGAAGTAATGTCTAAGACATGTGTTTGGGTAAAATGGGTCGGATGAAAGCCATGCTGCATGGTGTGGAACAGTCTGGATATTTATAAAAACGTGCAGAAGTCCTGCATTGAGAAGCTTAGATGAGGCTACTGAATAGTTTCTAAAGCTAGTGTGATCCAGAGCAACTCCCAAACAAAAGTTTGTTTTTGTGTGTTTTTTGAAATGTATTTTAAAGGATTGACAGAGAAAATGAGCTTAAAGAATAAAATTCTATTTTCTTCTCCAGAAATTCACTTCTGTATACAAATTGATATATATCAACATGGGTATGTGGGAATAAATTAGAGAACTTAAATCCCAGAGACACTTTTACAGTAAAATTGACAAAATTTAGTGACTAACTAAAGGCCAACCATTTTCAGTACATACACTGAGACCTGTTTTTATCCTGACTCCTGTTCTTGGTTCCTCAGAAAATTCTTAATCTGATCCTGCAGTGCAAACTGTTTATAGCTTCTCTTTCTTTGTGTAACTATCTGAATTTAGCCATGTGTACATATATAGTCACATCATGTCTTATCCATTCATCCACTGATGGGCATTTGATTGTTTCCCTGTCTTGGCTATTGTGAATAATGTTGAAATGAGTGTGGGCGTGCATACATCTCACCAACATTTTGTTTTCATTTCTTGTGGGTCCTGTGGGTATATACCCAGAAGTGAAATTGTTGGATCATATGGGATCTATTTTTAATTTTCTGAAGAACCTCCATATTGTTTTCCACAGTAGTTGAACCAATTTACATTCTCACCAAGAGAGTACAAGGGTTTCCCTTTTCTCCACATCTTTGCCAACACTAGTCGTAGCTCATGTCTTCTTGACAATAGGCATTCTAACAGGTGTGAGGTGATAGTTCATTGTGGTTTGGCTTTGCATTTCTCTGATGATTACTGATAGTGAGCATCTTTTCATGTACCTGTTGGCCATTTGGGTATCTTCTTTGGAAAAAGGTCTATTTGGTGCCTCTGTCCATTTTTTAATAGGATGGTTTGTTTTTTCTTATTGAGTTGTATGAGTTCTTTATGTATTTTTGAAGCTGGGATGACAGTGAAGAGCTCAGATTCTGAAGTGGGACTGCCTGAGTTTATTGTCTTTACTCCTTACAGCTTCCATTCCCTTGGGAAATGGAAGTTTCTTAACCTCTGTTTTCCAGTTTTTACATCTATGAAATGGGAATGATAATAATGAACAACCTCAAGAATTCTTAGGAGGAGTCAATGAATTATTATTGGTAAAGTTCTGAGAAAGTGCTCAGCATGTAAAGAGCACTACATAAATGCTCGTTAAGTCAGACTTCAATAGTCTTATCTGTTGAGCATCTGCTCTCAGGCCCTGCCCACACAGGGATTCTTGATGTTTTCCTCCTGGTCTGTCAACGCATATCTGATTGGCTGTTCAGAGTTATGGGTTTGTGTGGTGTTTGGCAAGGTATGGTCAAAGCTGCTTTTCAGAAGAAAAAGCCCTTTTCTGAATCTGGAAGCTAAGCAATGCCTTGTCCCTAGGAAACAGGAAAGGAGTAGGTCCCAGGAGTCTCTCCCTGATGTGACCAGTGTCTACCTCTGTGGTAGGAGATCACCGACAATATTGCCTGTCTAGGTTGGGTAGGGTTATTCTGACCTACTGCCCATTGGCACAGTTCCATCTAGCCTTTCTGGCACTGCTGGAACACTACCTAATGTCCCCCTGGCTGAATAAGTTTCCTTATTGATTAAGAGAAAATTCTTCCTCATGCCAGGTGATGGAAATTCTGGAATTGATATAAATGGGAGGGAGCAAGTTTTGTATCTTAATTTTTGGGTTCTCCTCAGGAGGAGCCTACAGCCTTTCACCAGGGTGAGGCGTTTCTGCAAAACACATGCCAGCTTGTTCAAGAAGATTCTGCTGTACCTGTTGTGTTTAGGTGAGGTGTTGGGAATTCCTGGAAGTGAGAGACGGAATTGTTTTAGAAAACTGACCTTGTGTCAAGATATTTCTAGATGGGATGCAACTTTACTCACAAACTGATCCAAAGGGTTATTTGATGTATAGATCTTAATACTGGCTTTGTAGTTGAAGTACATTTATTAAGTTGTATTTTTGGATAAGTAAAATCTGAGCAGAAATTATCTTTCAAAATTGTTTGATAGACTTAAATATTTCAGAGAATCTGGGCTTGTCTCTATTTTGGTGTCTTGATTCAATGCAGAACATGGTTTGTGCAGTCTTTACAAGAGAATCTTATAGTGTACATAACTTATTTGCTGGTTTGCTAGTAAGACCAATGATATAAAATATTTTTTCTAATATAGCAAACCTTTATTTAAAATATACTGTCAGTGATATATAGAACTTTTGCATCAATATTAGAGGCAGCTTGTATGGTGAGAACAAAAATTTTATTTGGGGTTCAGTCAAGGAGCCCTAGGTGAGGACCATATGGCTGTACATTAAGTCCTGATTTAACATTGTCAGTAGGTTCTGTCACTTTAGATGGAATGTGGTATAATGAACCGATTTTATCAGAGGCCAACTGATGTAAATAAGAGTGAAGTTCCTATGGCATCTCATCCACATTATAAGGATGTCTAAGGATGAAAGACATCCTTAGACAACTTGATATGCATCCTAGTAGTAGCCTTGTTTGCGTAGTTTGCTCAAAAGGAAAGATAAAAATGACTGGGATTATAAAGTTTTAGGAAAGATGACTTTTGGAGTATCTAATGGTGGATCCTGATCAAATCTACTTCAAGGGCAAAAAAATTTTATCAGAATAAATTCAAGGGGGTTCAAATTAAATTTAGACCAGTGGAAACATGTAACATTCAAACTAAGTTGGACACTTCTTGGGTATCCTTCAGAAGGAAACAACCACCCAGCCTGGCCTTGAGAACTGCAGCTCAGTCAGGAGCCGGGCAGCAATGTCGCTGGAGGGTTTTTCTTGCTTTAAGTCACAGACATTCATGACTAGAGCTTCATTTGCCTCTGGGGAGTTCTGACTTGCTCATCCATACTCTGCACCTTCTCCTTTTAGCTTATGCAGCCTACTTCCTGGCAGCCTGCATCTTGAATTTCCAGAGAGCACTGGCCTTATTTGTCCTCACTTGTTTGGTGCTCTTGGTCCTGGTTCACCGCTTTCTGAAACCGTTCTTGGGTAAAAAATTAATAAGATGTTTGAAGCCATTTGAAAACTCCTGTCTGAAGTGTTGGATGAAATGGTGAGTTAAGAGAAGAATCTCAATACCCCTGGCCCCCAAACTCATCCCAAACTGAGTCTGCTTCCCTTTTCCTCCTGTGACAGTTCCTGAGCTGTCCCTCAGACCCTCACCTATGCTTTTCAAAATCAATGCGTGGAGAGCAAATAGCAACAGGCCTCTGAGTACTGGACTTCATTTTCTTGTAGCCTCATGTATCAACATTGCTAGGGGGCAAGATGGGTTAAGTTTCAGAAAAGAGTTTCAGTCTGTTTATTGTCAGGATCTGTGACAGAAATAAGGAAAACTGTACTCTTCTGCAATGAAGTAATCAAAACAAAGAGGCTTGCAGCTGCATTAAGCTATCAAATTGATTTGATGGTCGTTTTACTTCTAGTCTCTGGGACTTCCCACACCCATTGGTGTCTTTGACAATTCCTTAGAGTATAATCAGCAAAATTCCTGCTCAGTGAATACTAAACTGGATCCTGCAGCAGCCACAGCTCACCTAACTAGCTGTATAGCATGCACAGGTCCTTTGATCACAGGCCTGGAGTGACAGATTAACTGTCATACTGTACGGAGTTCCTCTTTTCTGCCTGTTTTCCAATGGATGCAAAAAAAAAAAATAGGTGTTAAGAATGTTCACAACAGCAATTATTTGGAGAAATTCATGAGACCACAACCTCAATTTTGGATCACTGATTTATTTGACACTGAGGAGACAAAGCTAAAATGACACTATTTATTAGCAGGACAGATTCTGGAAGCCAGATTTTATTCACCTTAAATGAGAAGAGCTCACAGTAAGAACAGCTCCAAAATTCAGCTCTGATTTACAGTGCATTTTATCATTGTTGTTTCTGAGGCATCTCAATGGACAATGTGTTCTTTTTGTTTTGCTTTTATTTCACATGCACTCTCCTTTGTAATTCTTTTTTTTTAAAGATTTTATTCATTTATCTTTAGAGGGGAAGGGAAGGAGAGAGAGAGAGAAATATCAATGTATGGTTGCCTCTGGTGTGTCCCCCGCTGGGAACTGGCTTGCAACCCAGGCATGTGCCCTGACTGGGAGTTAAACCATGATCCCTTAGCTCGCAGGCCCATGCTCAATCCACTGAGCTACACCAGCCAGGGCTCCTCTCCAATTCTTTTTAAATGACTTCACACTCAGACATGAGAAATCCAGTGTCTGTATTTATCAAGCATGTTTGGTACATCAAGGGACCATAAGACCGTAGGGGTTGATTTGTGGCTTAGCCTTTACTCTTGCCCTTGGAGTGTTTGGAAATTGGGTGGGGATTCCTGGGGACCATGCATACATTTCCTCCTTTAATAATATTTTGGTTATTCACTAGTACCAGCTTAAAGAATGAGTCTTTATTTCACATCTTACTGATGTGGACGCTTGAGGAAGGAAGGCCATGTGATTTGCATCCTCACCTTGGACTCTTTAAACTTCATTCTGTGAGCAAGAGAATTGAAAAGACAGCTGCTAGCTAGGAAACCACCAGACGAATGTTTCTCAAGACAGGTCTCTATGTCTAATCCACTGAGTTATTTCACTTACCCTTGGGGTTAACTTCTATTTTTTAGAGGTAAGATGAATTATTTGTTATTCTGATTGAGTTGCTGACATAGTACTGGCATTCTCTCTTCAGGGTGTTTGCTGGAGTCTGCCTGGTTGGCCTTATCCTGTGGCTGGCACTAGACACAGCCCAAAGGCCAGAGCAACTGACATCCTTGGCAGGAATCTTCCTGATTATCCTCATCCTCTTTGCTTGCTCCAAACACCACAGTGCAGTGAGTTTCGGGGATGCAGGGTGGGCCAAGGGCCATGTATTACTGATTACAAAGTACATGTGTCGAACAGTGATTACGAAGGTAAAACTAAGTTCTTTACAATCTCTGGAATTTGCTTTTTTGATGCTTTTACTCCTAAGAGAAGTTTTAAAGTTCTCAAAAGCCCTAGACCACTTATTTTCATACAATAAGTTATAATCCATTAGCAAAACTTGATATGAAATTTGTGGATCTAGGCCAGTGTAAAAAAACAAAGGGGAAAAAAAGGATAGAAAGAAAATAGAATACGACAGGGAATCAGATGATTACATTGTGCATAGTAATATTGAAGTATTGGATTTGATGCTTTTATTTGTATATCTGTATGTATGTGCATGTGTCATATAATCTATAGACAGTTTTATAAACCATGTGGACATATGTGGATCTTTACTTATTCCTGCCTTGTTTCCTCCCATTCCCCACTCCCTCTTACCCCATGTTTCACTATAACATCCCGGGTTAGTTTCACCCTCAGTACATGTACCCATTGTTAAAACTCCAACCAGGTAATGGACAAGTAGGATTTAGAACTCACGTTGAAATAATATTCTTGTTGGTCCCAGGTGTCCTGGAGGACAGTGCTTTGGGGCCTGGGTCTTCAGTTTGTCTTAGGGATCTTGGTCATCAGAACTGATCCTGGATTTAATGCATTTCAATGGCTGGGAGATCAGATTCAGGTATGAAAAGTACAATGAGTGGGCTCTGCTCTTTTAGAACCCTAGAGCGAGGAGATCTGGGGGAAGCCTGCAGAGACTGGACTATGTCTTGATGATGATGGTGGCAGATCTGGTGGGAAAGGAAAGAGTGTCCTGGGGTATTATTCATCATATGAATAAAGAGAACTAAACTGCTGAGTCCTCTGTCATTCAGTGAGCAGCTCTTGGGAATATGGCCTGCCCCCAGGTTGTCAAAGGGAGGCCAACTTCAGAAATAGCAATAAGACCTAATCATGCATGAGGCTGATCGCATATTCCTCCGTATCCTTGTTGGCTTCACTCTTGTTCACTCTCTCTCTCTCCTTACAGATTTTCCTGAACTACACTGTGGCTGGCTCCAGTTTTGTCTTTGGGGATATGCTGGTCAAGGATGTCTTTGCTTTTCAGGTCATATCTGTTTTGTAGGCAGGAATGAGGGTCACTGTGGGGAGAGGGGTAAAGCAGAGGATGCAAATGTATGTCCAAGAGATCAGCCAGTCTCCATACCAGTTTGAACCTAAGAAGAGGATTTGATCCACCAGTAGAAGGAACAGCACCAGTCTCTCGCCCTTTGATCATTTCCATACTGAAATGAGAATAAAATAGAAGTGGGAGGAAGGGCTCAGAAAAACATCTTTTGTGGCTTGGTACTAATGGGATAATAGATATGTGATACATTTAAAATTTATTCCTAAAGTAGCTTGTGTTGAAGTATCCACTGAGTATCTACACTGTATGAGCTGCTCTTGGGAGGCTGAGATCTTAATTTAGAGTCTGCAAGGCAGTCTGTTTATGACATACACATTCACACAGCAGTCCTCCCTCACCAGCGAGGGATGCATTCCAAGACCCCCATATATGTCTGAAACTGCAGGTAGTACCAGACCCTATGTACATTATGTTTTCCCCCATATATGTACCTATATACCTTTGATAAACTTTAATTTAGAAATTAGGCAATTTCACAGATAGAAGATTCATTCTTACCATAGATCTTAGCAAAGTTAGCATACATTTTTTTCCCTTATTAAGTTGAAAATGTTCACTTTTTCTCTTAAAGAAAGCAGTTTACATGTTGTCTTTGGCATATTCAAATCACCAGCATCACAACTCTTGTGCTTTGGGGCCATTAAGTAAATAGGGTGACCAGAACACATGCGCTGAGATACTGCGATGGTCTTCCCTACAACCTAGATGGCTGCTAAGAGACTAACGGGCTGGTGGGTAGTGTGTAGAATAGACAAAAGGATTGTTCACATCCCAAGCCAGACAGAGCAGGACAGCATGAGATTCCATTACACTATTCATAATGGCACACAATTTAAAACCTATGAATTGTTTACTTTGGGAATTTTCCTTCACATATTTTCTAACCATGGTTGACTGTAACTGGAAAGTGGAACCGTCAACAAAAGGGACCACTGTAATATCTCATTAGTTGCCTGTCATTGTCTTTATAGAGCTTAACGATCATCATTTTTTTTGGATGTGTGATGTCCATTCTCTACTACCTGGGCCTTGTGCAGTGGGTAGTTCAGAAGGTGAGTCATTCTCCTACACCACTCAGGAGATGGGCCTCCATCTTGTGATCTTTCAAGAAGCATAAAAATGACACTTAATCTGGAAAAGTGCTTCTGTGTAGGATCTAGATGTTAGAACCAATATAAAAGGCAAACTTTCAAGCATGCCCGATATCAGATGGTCAGGCCCAGGCTCTAGGCTGGCTGAGCAGCAGAGCAGGAAGTGAAATCTACATGTTCTGGAAGCCAAGAGTCCTCAGTCCAGGTCCAGGCTGTGTTTGTAACTTGCTCTGTGGCTTTGGGCTTGTCACTCTACTTCTCTAGGTCTTAGTCTCCTTACCAGTAAAATGGGCATGGGGGGTTTTCTGGGTACTCTCCAAGATTCCTGCTAATGTTAATAATTTATGCTTTGTATCACTTTAGATTGCCTGGTTTTTGCAAATCACCATGGGCACCACTGCCACAGAGACGCTGGCTGTGGCAGGAAACATCTTTGTGGGTATGGTAAGTACCCTGAGGCCTTCTGCTCTTTTCTTTATTTTAAAAAAGATTTTATTTATTTTTATAAAGAGGGGTGGGTGGGAGAAAGAAAGAGAGAGAAACATCAACGTGCGGTTGCCTCTTGTGCACCTTCTACTGGGGACCTGGCCTGCAACCCAAACATGTGCCCTTTGGTTTGCAAGCTGGTGCTCAATCCACTAAGCCACACATGCCAGGGCTGCTCTTTTTTCCTGAGGGACAAATAGTGTGGAGGAAAACAGGTTGAGAAAAGTGTTTTCCTCCTGAAAAGTCAAATAAATGAACTGTATGGGAAGCCAATCAGCGATGAAATAAAACTTAGATGTTCAAAGGAAACTCAGTGTATTGCTCAGTGTACCCTTCATGTGTAAGAATACTTAGCTGGGCCTGCTTAATTAGTCTGGACATCCTCAACAACCAATGCAACTTAAAATTTTTTTAATTGATTTGAGGAACTGAGCGAGAGAGAGAGATTGGGCTTTGTCGTTCAACTTATGTATGCTCTCATTGGTTGATACTTGTATGTGTCCTGACTGGAGATTGAACCCACATCCTTGGCGTATTGGGATGATGCTCTAACCAATTGAGCTATCTGGCCAGGGCCAATCCAATGATTTAACACAGGAATTTAGGGAAACATTCTGGTCCAAATTTAATCTGCCTTCAGATTCTGTGTATGAAGGATATTTTCTCTGTGTTCCTGTTTCTTTTGTGGTCCTTGTTTTCCAGGGTCTCTAAGTACCTAATAGCTTGCCTTGCTCAGTGCTAACACCAAGGCTCTTCCCCATAATACATTGTCTGATACGTTTATATGGAATAGGTGTTCCATATGTGCTATTGACTGATTAGTTCAATGTTAGGGACCATGGCTTGTCAAACTGAAAAGGAGTTAGTATTAAAGTCTTTCTCTCTCAAGGCCTTAGTTGGATTAACTGTTTCTGAAATGTTTTCTGAGTACTTCTTCACACTCCCACCTTAGCATTCCACATTTTCCTGAAATCATCCATAATCAGCTTAGTTTTTAGTGCTAGACTATAAGCTCCTAAAAGTAAAACTTTGCCTTATTTATAGTAATATCCCTTAGTATAAGACTAAGCACCTAACTGTCAGTCGTTAAATGACATTATCTTAGGTTGATGCTAAATACAGTTTACAGAGTTGGATCTTCATAATTTTATCAAATTTCCACAAACATTATTTCTTTTGATTCTTTCATCAACACTGAGCTTTAATAATCTATTTTGCATTTCATTTAATGAGTACTTTTTAAGCAACTAATTTGTACTCAGGAAGTGCACTATATTTCATATGGTCATTCATTAAGTACATCAGGTCCTCAGAGAATGTCTGGTCAAAAAGTATTTCATTCATTCCTCCACGCCTGGCTTATTTCACTTAGCATAATGCTGTTCCATCCATGCTGTTGCAAAGGGTAGGAGCTCCTTGTTTCTTTCTGCTGCATGGAATTCCATTTATGATCTCACCTTTAACTGGAACATAATCAACAAAAGAAAAAAGCAAACAGAATATAACCAGAGACACTGAGATTAAGAACAATCTAACAATAACCAGAGGGGAAGGGTTTGTACTATAAAGGACACATGGACAAAACCAAGGGGGAGGGGTGGAATCAGGGGAGGGAGGTGGGTTTGGCTGGGGTGGGGGGCGGAAATGAAGACAACTGTAATTAAACAATAATAAAATAATTTTTAAAGAGTATTTCATTCAACTTTGTTTCCTTATAAAGTTGATGAGATGTCAGAGGAAGTTAACTCTTGTTTATATCAATTAGTTTATGGTAAAACTGGTTTCATATACATTGTTTTGCTTGAAGTTGCAGAACCTATTAAAGCTAAGTGAAGAATTATTGTGTATGATTTTAGACATGGAGAACTTACCAAAAATATATACCATTTACCTTCCATAGCATTTTAAAATCTAAACAAAGGAGACAAACAGGTATGAAAACAGATGAGAACAATGTCAGCTGGGTTATGATAAGGTGTCAGAGAGAGTGAGGCAGATGCTGGGAGGGCCTAAAAGCAGCCCTCTATGCTAGAGGGGCACTCACACTAGAGGGATATGTCCCTGGGGCAGGGGTGGGCACTTTGGGGTGGAGAGTCACATGCTCTCAACTCTGACTCGCTTCTCCTTCTTCATAGACAGAGGCACCTCTGCTCATCCGTCCGTATCTTGCAGACATGACACTTTCCGAAATCCATGCAGTGATGACTGGAGGGTTTGCCACCATCTCAGGCACTGTGTTGGGATCCTTCATATCCTTTGGGGTAGGCATAGTCTGATCACTCCTGGGTGAGCTCATATCTGGGTTCTGTAGATGCTGATTCTTAAGTCTACCCTTACAGATTGAAGCATCATCCTTGATTTCTGCATCTGTGATGGCTGCCCCTTCTGCTCTTGCCTTGTCAAAGTTGGTATATCCAGAAGTGGAGGAATCCAAGTTCAAGAAAAAGGAGGGTGTAAAATTATCCCGTGGGTAAGTCCATATAATTGGGGAGATGGTGAGGTCAGGTGCAGACCCAAGGGTAGTCCTGTGATGGCAGAGGCTTCAAGTCTCTTGGAGAAGGAGTAATCTGATACCATATCCCTTCTTGTCTACCTCTGCCTCTAGCTTTGTTTGCTTCACCCTCCACCTGCCTCTGTCTTCTGCATACCAGTATCCTCTGTCCTTGGTATCAGTGCAATTTCATGGCAATTAAATCTGGTACTGCTTCAGTGTACTTTCTACCAAAAGGGTCACTAAAGAACCCCATCACCTCTCAAGCTGGTCTGGCACCCTCCTCCTGCACTCCTGCATAGAGGGAAAGTGGGATTTCTCTTCTGTGAGGGGCTGAGACTAATCCAGATGCCATATCCTTCTCCTATGCCCAACAACGACAGGAAAGAGAATAATATCCTAGAGGCGGCCAGCAATGGAGCCACAGATGCCATAAGCCTTGCTGCTAATGTAGCAGCCAACCTGATTGCCTTTTTGGCGGTGTTGGCTTTCATCAATGCCACCCTCTCCTGGCTAGGGGAGTTGGTAGACATACAAGGGCTCACTTTTCAGGTAAAGAATTACATTTGTTGGGCTATCCCTGTAGAGTGTGTTTAAGTAGTCCTTGAAATGTGCATGCCCTCCTGACCCACAGTGAGCTAAAAGAGAGAGTGGATAGAAGGGTGGAAGAGGCTGAGTTAAGTCTCCAGAGGAAGTCCTTGTGTCTTGACCTGTGTTATTTGTTCTTTCTTTTCCTGGGGTATCTCTTTTTTTTCACCCAGGTGATTTGCTCCTACATCCTGAGGCCCATGGTTTTCATGATGGGTGTAGAGTGGGCAGATTGTCCAATGGTGGCTGAGATGGTGGGGATCAAGTTCTTCACAAATGAGTTTGTGGCCTACCAGCAACTATCTCAATACAAGAACAAACGTCTCTCTGGAGTGGAAGAGTGGATCGGAGGCAAGAAACAGTGGATTTCTGTAGGTGACAATCCAGAAAAGCATAAATTGTCTGTGGGCAGACAGAAAGTGTTACACCAAAGTTTCTTTCCCACCCATGGATCCCTTTCCAGTGTCCCAGCCTAACCACAAAGCCAGTGTAACACTACACTTGACTCTGGTGCCCCAGCTGCCCTGAGGTCTGTGTGTTATTCCTCTCCTGCACTCTGACCCAACTTCTATATATAAGATACTTGTTGGTGTTTTACAGTTGAGGCAATCAAGAGTGGACACTATTTTTGATGGCCTAAGGTCCCCTTCTTCATTTATAAGTTTAAAATGCTATAAATTGATCTTCTTTTTTCCCTTCCTCTCTCTCTTCCCTCTCAATCATCCTCATTCCTAGGCCTTTTTCTTATTCATGGGCTTCAACAAGAAGAGTGTGGGCAAAGAGGCCCATAGTGCTTTCCATATGCTTATTCCTGTGATAACTCAGAAAATAATGATTTTCTGAGCATTTTCCCATGTGCCTTAGGGTAGTATGGACAAGATTGGAGGTTCCATGTTCTTTGGAACTTCTGTCATGATTATATGACTGCATATATGGAACTGCTTTTGTTTACTTATTTATTTTTGTTTTGTCTAGGTGAGAGCTGAAATCATTACAACATTTTCACTCTGTGGATTTGCCAATCTTAGTTCCATAGGAATCACACTGGGAGGCTTGAGTGAGTTCATTCATTTTTTCAACTATGCTATAAGCCAGCCAGATCCCAGCTTCTGTAGTAGGCAATCCTGGTGCTCCAGTACAAGCTGAGACCAGATAGAAAAGCTGATGTGAAATGGTCCCACTCAGGCACAGTTAATTTGGAGTTCAGGCAACCATGCTACCTGGGTGTGCATGGAGCCTAGACTGGGTTTACCACCTCGATTTCTGTTATTCTTTTTCCTTTTGATTGGAGACCCAAAAGATCTATTTTATTTTTATTTTCCTTTTGAGGAAGATAATATTACTTTTACTTTGCCATTAAATGGGCACAGTACATATGTAAGTAAAGATATTTTGCTTTTTATTCAGTAGTAAAGTTACTTTCTGAAATTAGGCTGCTCACCAGTTGTTTTCACAGAAATTGCACAATGAGCCAAAAGACAAATAAAATAATCAGACACATAAGACAGAAAAATAGTAAGACAGATAGTAAGAGCAAGTGGTGTCGAGTATTGGACTAAAAGCTACAAATCAGCAGGTGTGGGAGAAGTGAGTATCTGAAACAGACACAGATATATTTGATTGCTGAAGATATTGCTGAATTTGGGTGATGATTGGATGAAAAAATATGAGAAAGTGGAGTTGTCCTTGAGGGCAGGGGCAAGAAAAATGACTAGCAGATTTGAAGAGTTTGGAAGATCCAAGTTAGAAATGCAGTATAAGAAATACAGCTCAGTGTGTCCATTTATTGTTACTCATATTCTGTGGTAGAATCATTCAGTTGATTTATTTGGTAGCTGATTGAACAATGTAAAGATGAAACATTTTCCTTTTGGTTTACTTTTTCCCTTCGTTAAATATCTGTCTGTACTGTTCTAGTTCTGGTGCCCTATCAGTGTCTGATTGTGAGATTGCGTTTGGCAGCAGGATGTTTGCATGTGACTAAGGCTTAGGTGAATGTTGCCGTCCTTATCCCTATGGCTCAAAACAGTCCATCTAATTCTGGTCTCAGATCTCATGTGTGCCTGTCTGCAGCAAACCAGAGCTTTGCTTGACCCAGATATCTTAGGAGAGTTCTTGGAACCACTGAGGTCAGGGTCAGACAAACATTCCTTGACCTGGGGAACATCTGAGTTAGTGAACCCTCAGGACTAACATATATGCACTCTTCTCAGGGTATTGCTGACCAGCCTCTGGTCATTAGTGGTTTAAAAAAAAAGCTATTCATCTGCATTTGTTCTTGTGCATTTTTTAGTAGAGGCTCGTGGATTGGCTGATGAGAAAGAGATCAAGTTATTTTGTTTTTGTTATCGGCAGCATCAATGGTACCCCACCGGAAGAGTGACTTGTCCAAGGTTGTAGTCAGTGCCCTCTTTACAGGAGCCTGTGTATCCCTTATCAGTGCCTGTGTGGCAGGTAGGTAACTCAGCTTAGTCTATTGGCATAAATCACATACCTAGATCCTGATAAGATCTCTCTCAGAATATCAATTTAACCATCCATCTCACAGATGCATAGAAAAGGCAATCTACAATGTTCTTAGTTTATACCCAAATTATTAAGAGCCTTCGAGAACATGTATGAATCTTCTTCCCTTAGTATCTCTGTCTCCTTTATCCAGGAATCCTCTATGTTCCCAGAGGAGCTGAAACTGACTGTGTCTCCTTCCTAAACACAAGTTTCACCAATCGCACCTACGAGACCTATGTGTGCTGCAGACAGCTCTTTCAGAGGTGAGTGAGCGTGAGGATCCCAGCCCCCTCCTCTTATATGCCATCCTCCACCCAGGAATCTTCTGGGCATGGGGAGAAATAAGGTCTGAGAGTAATCGTGGGAATGTTGAATAGAGTTTAAGAAGGAAGATGGATATTTGTGGTAGTCTAGATTTATGTTCTTTTCTCTTATCTTAGTATTTATTATCTTTAGTGTAGACCAGTGACAGATTTTACCTGTATTGGTGGGACACTGAGAAGTGGAAGGGCAGAGGAAGAAGAAAGGACATATGATTTCCCCAATAAGAAGTTACTGTATTTATTGTGACTGGAATGTCGTAGGTGAAGACTTGGCAATGCTCCTAAGTGGCTAAAAAATTGTGGGTTTCTTCAAACAGAAATGATGACTAAAGAGGATGAATCTGAATCGATAAAATCATAATGTATTCATATAGTATAAAATGAATCTGTTTACCAATTTCTGGGATATTATACCAGTAGTTTTCTGGTTCCTCATGTAAGAAGCATGAAAGTCACCACTTCATTCTAACAAGTTAAAAACTAAACAATCTGAATAAGCAATAATTTGTAGATTCATATGGGATGTGAGGACCCAGGGCAAACTACTGCCCCCAATATTGGACAGACAGGTGAGTACAGGGAGTCACGATTACTGGAACAGAAACTCGTGAGTGTAAACTGCTGCAGAAACCTGTGCAGGGGTAGGAAAACCTGAAACTGTAATTGCTGGAGGCATAGTGAGGACAAGTCTGAATGTCTAAAAACGCAGGAGTGGGGCAGTCATGGGAGGCACACCACACTTTTGTGAGTTTTACCTCCAGGAGATGAACCAGGTTCAAAGTAGTTCCTTTACCCCTTCCCTTGTGCTTCTGTCTGGGTGGGGGTAAAAAGGGAACCATTTTAAAATACACCAGAATGCATTGAGTTCTGTTTATTTGTTTGTATGTTTTTTGGTGGACCTGTGTTTTTGCTTATTTTAGGTAAGTACCCAGAGTAGAAATGATGCATGCTGAAGTAGATACATGTGTGATGAAACATATGCCATTGGAAAGTTGGTCTGTAGAACAGTAGAACTGTGTGGTCAAATAGATTCACTTTACCAGGTGCTCCATTTGAGTCTAAGTTTTCCATGAGTTCTCTTCTCTTTTTGACTTTAAGTTTTCAATTGCAGAGGGCAGGCAACATTATATTACTTTCATGTGTACAACCCAGTGATTAGATATTATATAACTTACTAAGAGATCATCCTGATAAACCTTATACCCATCTGATACCATACAATATAACATTATTGTCTATATTCCCCATGCTGTATTTTACATCCCTATAACTACCAATTTGTACTTCTTTTTTTAAAAAAAATTTAAACTATATTTTATTGATTATGCCATTACAGTTCTATTCCCCCCTTCGTTCCCCTCCACCCTGCACACCCCTCCCCCACCATTCCCCTCGTTTGTTTATGACCACGTGTCTCAAGTTCTTTAGATTCTATATTTCCCATACTATTCTTGCCCTCCCTCCTATCTATTTTCTACCTACCATCTATGCTACTTATTTTCTGTACTTCTGCCCCTTCTCCTTCTCCCACTCCCCTGTTGCTAACCCTCCATGTGATCTTCATTTCTATGGTTCCGCTCCTGATCTAGCTGTCCTCTTAGTTTGTTTTCGTTTTAGGTGTGGTTCTTAATAACTGTGAGTTTGATGTCCTTTCACTGTTCATCTTTTTTATCTTCTTTTTCTAGGTAAGTCCCTTTAACATTTCATATAATAAGGGCTTGGTGATGATGAACTCCTTGAATTTGATCTTATCTGAGAAGCACTTTATCTGTCCTTCCATTCTAAATGAAAGCTTTGCTGGATAGAGCAATCTTGGTTGTAGGTCTTTGGATTTCATGACTTGGAATACTTCTTTCCAGCTCCTTCTTGCCTGTAAGGTCTCTTTGGAGAAATCCACTGACAGTCTGATGGGAGCTCCTTTGTAGGTGACTGTCCCCTTATCTCTTGCTGCTTCCAGAATTCTCTCCTTCATTTTAATCTTGGCTAATATAATTAGGATGTGCCTTGGTGTGTTCCTTCTTGGGTCCAACTTCTTTGGGACTCTCTGAGCTTCCTGGATTTCCTGGAAGTCTATTGCCTTTGCCAGGTTGGGGAAGTTCTCCTTAATTATTTGTTCAAATAAGTTTTCCACTCGTGGCTGTTCCTCTCCCCCTTCTGGTACCCCTATAATTTGGATGTTGGAACGTTTAAAGATGCCCTGGAGGTTCCTAAGCCTCTCCTCATTTTTTTGAATTCTTGTTTCTTCATCCTTTTCTGTTTGGTCATTTTTTTCCTCCTTCTGGTCCACTCCTTTGATTTGAGTCCCAGTTTCCTTTCCCTTACTATTGGTTTCCTGTGTATTTCCATTCATTTCAGTTAGTTTAGCCTCCATATGTTCCTCTAATTTGTGACTATAATCAACCAGTTCTGTGAGCATCTCGATCACCAGTGTTTTGAACTGTGCATCTGAAAGTTTGGCTATTTCTTGTTCGCTTAGAGTTATGGGCTCTGGGGCTCTGAGTTGTTCTTGAGCCATGTTTTGATCTGTTCCTGCCTGTTACTTACGAGGAGGTGTTCACCAGGGCGGGGCTACCCAGGTCGCTGGTTTGTGATGCTGTATGTGGGGGCGGGGTCAGAGAGGGACAATGGCGGTCCCCTCTGCCACTTTCCGCCACTGGGGACTGCACGGTCTGTCTCACCACTCACTCCTTCACTGGTTTATCTGCGCTCAAATGTGTGACCATGGTCAGTCCACTGCCTTGTGTCCTCAGTGGGTCCGCCCACTACTCCACACCTGGGATTCGCCTACAGCTGCCGGTGTGCCTGGGTTGCATGCCTGGGTCAATCCGGTGGAACTTTCCTGCCCTACCCCGCTCTGCTGCTGGCTCTGCCCCTCTTACTGGTTTGGCTGAAGGGTTCGTTGTTGTCAGACTTCCGCATAGTTCAATTTTCTGTGGTTTGACTGCATTTTTGTTGCTAAAACTTTGTCATTTTTAAACTTGGTTGTGTGAGAAGGTACAGTGCTTCCACCTATGCCTTCATCTTGGCACGGAAGTCTCCCAATTTGTACTTCTTAATCTCTTCACCTTTTTCACCCATAACCCCAATACCCTCCCATATGGCAACTGTCAAAATATTTTCTGTTCCTAAGATTCTGTTTCTCTTCTGCTTGTTTATTTTGTCTTTAGATTCAGTCATTGATAGATATGTATTTATTGCCATTTCATTACTCATATTTTTATCTTTTTTCTTCTTAAAGAAGACCCTTTAACATCTTCTATAATACTTGTTTTGTGGTGATGAACTCCTTTAGTTTTTTTCTTGTCTGTGAAGCTTTTTCTTTTTGGCCTTCAATTCTAAATGATAGCTTTGCTGCATAGAGTAATCTTGATTGTAGGTCCTTACTTTTCATGACTTTGAATATTTCTTACTAATCCCTTCTGGCCTGCAAAATTTCTGTTAAGAAATCAGCTACCATTTATGGGAGCTCCTTGCAAGTAACTAACTGCTTTTCTCTTGCTGCTTTAAAGATTCTCTTTGTCTTGAATCTTTTGCATTTTAATTATGATGTGTCTTTGTGTGGGTGTTTTTTGGTTTCTTCTTGTTTGGGACTCTCTGTGCTTCCTGGAGTTGCATGTGTATTTTCTTCACCAGGTTAGAGAAGTTTTCTGTCAGTATTTTTTCGCATAGGTGTTCAATTCCTGGCTTTCTCACTTCTTCTGGCAACCTCATGATGCAAATGTGGGTACACTTGAAGTTTTCCTAAAGGCTTTTTTATTCTATTATCATTTTTTGGATTCTTTTTTGTTTTTGTTGTTCTAACTGGGTGTTGTCTGTTTCATTGTCTTCCAAACTCTGATTTGATCTTCTGCTTCATCTACTCCACTGTTGATTCCTTATAATGCAGTCTTTATTTTAGTTAATGTATTCTTCATTTCTGGCTGATTATTTTTTATGTTTTCTAGTTCCACTTTATGTTTCCTCTTTGTTGAAATTCTAAGTTTATCTCCTTTTCCTTTAAGTTCACTGAGCATTTTTATAACCAGTGTTTTGAGCTCTGCATTTAATAGATTGCTTGCCTCCATTTTGTTTAGTTTGTTTTTCTAGAGTTTTGTTTTGCTTTTCAATTGGAACGTATTTCTTTGCCTCCTCATTTTGGCAGCCCCCTGTGTTTGTTTCTACATAGTAGGTAGAGCTGCAAGTGTCCTGGGCTTGGTAGAGTGGCTTTATGTAGTAGGTATCCTGTCAGGTCCAGGGGCACAGCATCTCTGTTTACATGAGCTGGGAACTTCAGGTGCAACTCCCCACATTCCTTGTGTGGGCTGTGTATACCTTCATGTTGTAGTTGAGCCTTGACTGCTATTGGCACAACTATGGGAGGCATTTACCACCAGGCTGGCTGGCTGCAAGGACTGGCTGCAACCATTGCAGAGAATCATCTGTTCAGGGCCCACTCCATGGACCACCAGGAGTGGTGGTACTACTTACTTCAGCAGGGCTTTTGTGTCTGCTGAGTTCACCTCTTGAGTGTCTCATTTGTGGAGGTGGTTGGGTGGTACTTTGATGTGGTCTGAAGCTGTTCATGGTTTTGCTGGTTTGGATGACTCTAGGAGGTGTAGGCCAAGGTCAGCTGCTGCCTGTGTTCTGCCTGGGGCCATCCACCATGAACTGCAAAGCAATCTGCAGATGGCTGCTACTTTTACTCCAGAAGATGTCCTGGAGGGGCCAAGCTGTAAACTAAGTCAAGCTGCCACTAGTGCTGTGTCTGGGGTCACTTAGTGAGAGGTATAAGGCATGCTGAAGTTACATGCTTCTTGTTTGAGAGATTTTAGGAAAGTCTGAAGTGTGAACCAAGATAGATCATTTGTAAAAAAGCCACTGGGAGAGCTTGGTTGGGCCTGAAAGTTGGGTAGGGAAGGGTCTCAGGGAATCACCAGGGTGGGGATAACAGTGTGAGCCAG